CCAACATTTTGAACAGATGAAGTAAATTTCAAAACAAACTGCCTGACCAATTGTAACGACTTATCAACATCTGACTGCAGTTCTTCGTGTAATCAAGGGGTGAAAGGGGTGTAAATAATGACTCACCTCGGATATATTGACTGTGTACGTTCCATTTCTGTTAATCGAGCAGTCACCTGTAAATTATGTAAAATATTACGATGGAGGGTGTGCGTTCTCAATCTGTTGAGTTTGCACTCGAGACACCCACAATGCATCTGTACTACAATGAATGACGCCAACATAGCTCAAACGTCAAGTGTTTTTGTTGAAAGTACAGTGTTCCAAACACGGAAGTAAAAAAAGTTAGCAGGGTAAACTTGCATTTCCAATGTTACTCAACTAAAAACAGTTCATATAATGAGTACAATAAAGTGGTTATACCACGTCAGAATATGTTCAATGTGCAAACTTTATAGAAACTCCTTGTTAATCTAAGCATGGAGTCATTTTTTTTAGCTCTTTTTACCTTCCATGGTTAAAGACAATCGAGCCAGATACTGCGGCTGATCACGTGATATGCAAATTAAGTTCTTAGCATACATAGTATATATACGTACCTTCCACAGAAATAACCAAAGCGGTGAGGATCAGTAACACACGCATTTTTTGCAGAAAATTGCCTGCTCGCAATGTTTAGTTTACCGTCGACGTCACATAGCCCGGGTATATTGCTTCTGGTGATGTAGCAGTTGAGAAAGTGTAACTTATAGGTCACTTGGGCGATTACATTTGTGTGAGGGGTGGGCAGGTAGGCACCAATTTGGGACATAGAGTTTGACACGATTTCTTAATTTCAATCCTATTAAACGAAAGAAGAACTTTAAATGGTGTCATCATTAGAGGGGCCTCTTAAATCCGTCGTTACTCATACGCATATGTCACATAATTCAATGACGTCATTATAAAAGTGCGTTCCTTTCCCTAACTAAACGTCCTGTATCTGCTCAAGTTAAGGGTGCCCACATTGTGAGTTCGGCAGCCCCCCTTTTTTTCACTACGAGACAGTCACGCCCCTACTTCTCAACAAAACGCAGCTTGTATAGTCTAACCCAACTCAGATTTCGCTCGTGACTTTACTGGCTATTAATAGCTTTGCACACCCGGAAAACTCTATTTCTTGTTGTTAAAGGGCGGTAGTCGTCGCGCCGCGTCCTGTTAGTTATGGGACTCATAGCGACGTATACAACGCGTGTAAAATACATTGTTTATTTACATGAAATTCAAACACGCGCTGCGCGACGACCACCGCGCTTTAACAAATAATGTTCTTGTATCTCTCGAAGTCTTTATTGAGTGAATTTGGTAGTAATAGTTTAATTTCGATTAGGGTATTCTCCACCAATCACTTAGCATGTAACTATGGCATTATATGGGAGAATACGATCGTGTACTTTTCGTTGTAATATTTGCTTAGAAGATTGTGTTACGGAAATTCCCCTAAACATCGTTTTTTTGTGTTTATTTGCGTAATGTAAAATACTTTATTTTAGCTGGAATATTTTCACTGAAAAGACATCTTGAGTGTTGCATTGAATTTATTTTCACTGATTTTTGGCGGGATGAATGTAAAATATAAGAAAAAAAGCATTTTCGCTGGATTTTATTTTCATCTCTTCAGCGACAATGAATTCCAAGCAAAAATAAAGTATTTTACAGTAGTCAAACTCTACAAACGCAGTTTCATTAACCTATTCGTGACCTTGTTGTCATAACACATCATAACACGTCGATTTGTATTCTATTTCGCGGTGAATAGTTTTGTTCTGACTATGCTGTTTCTGTGTTGTAGGTGGCCACGTTACATTTAAAAGTTTACGAACTTTTCTTAAATTATAAAAAATATAGTTTTATTTCCCATTTATTTCATAAATGTGTTATTTGTAAAATATGTGTTACAAGATTATTATAATTAATTCATTTAGCGATCACTGCATAAATTATATGTCTTGACAAAACGCTTTTTGTCTTTTGTTTTGTATTCATTCATGAAAATTCTATTTTCCACTGATAATTTTGGTTTAGCATGCCTCCCTGCCCTGAGTGATTTCCGTCTGAGCCAGCGGTAATTATGAAACTTATCAACAAGTATGTGAAATATCCAAGCGGTCTATAAATTGTTTCATTTTTAGGTTTTCAAGACACATGTCTTGGAAACCTTTTGTAATTGTATGTTTTTTTATTA